GGGGGGGGGGGGGGGGGGGGCGAAACGGTCAGGCGTTCGGTCGAGTCTCGCAGATGAAGAAATGCCGGCCCTTCCTTCCCGCGCACTCTTCCCCCCCGAGTCGGGGAAATTCGGATCCTCTATCGTAGGAGGTGGAGGGAGGACGATGGAGAAGGAGGAGACAATCGTCTCGCTGTCCGGAGAGGGAGGAAGATGCCACTTCTTGCAGGAGTCGGTGATCCAGGATGTTCTTGGATCGAGCCCACGTCCATTCTCCTCGTCGGTTTCTCTCTCCTCCGATCCAGTGATCCTCGTCTGCAACACGGATACTCGTCGTCAGGTGGGAACGAGAATGAACGGCTCGATATCCTTCCGTCGGTTCTCTGAGAACCGTGATTTTACCGTGAATTTACGGACCCGTGACGATCCGAACGGATCGCGAACCGCATAGTGTTGCGATTTCCGCACGGAACCGAGAGCGATCTCCGTCCGCTCCGCACGACGATACCGCTTCGTGCGACGGTATGAAAAGAAGAATTCGTGAAGCGACAAGAACGGTCGTCGAGCCGTCTCCTGCCCGAGAGGATCGGCTATCTCCACGGTCGGAAGCATGTACGTGACGGGTGCGTTCGCGGTAAGCCGTAAACGTTCCCGGATTCGCGTCGAAACGGCCGAACGCGCGATCGGGAAGCGTACCGATCTGCACGTCGCGCGATGTTTCGGACGGTTGCGTGCGGCAGCCGACGCGATGCCTCGATGAGCGGGTCGCTGGAGCGACTCGTTGGAGAGGAACGCGTCACTCATCGAGCGGGAAACGCACCATATTTTTGTTGATTTTCGTTTGCGAGCGGCAGTGACGTCCGAAGCGACCGGAACTCGAACTATCGAAGCGCGATAGCGATCGTTCTCGTTTTCGTTTTTCTACGTTCGTCCCAGACGTGCCATCGCACACGAGCGAAACTCGTCGCTATCCGAAAGCCGTCGCTCGAGCGTTACGCTCCGCCGCACGATGCAGAAAATTCTTCGGACGACCCTCGCGTACGTACGAGAGAGCCGATCCGAAATCGATCGGATGCGGTTTACCCCTTCGATCCGACTCGATTCGATGCAGCGACGTCACTTCTGGTGGGTTGCGAGGAACGTCCGGTCGGGTCCACGACTGCGACGCTTGGAGGTACCGGAGTGCGATCGCACGAAACGCGTACCGTTCTCACCGAAGCCCTCGTTCCGAAGCGAAGATCGTTGCGAAGCTCCTGCAAGAGGGGAGAGACCCGACTGCCGACGCATCGCATCGAGACGCGTGCGCGAGGTCGACATCGGAAAGGTGCCCCGCGTCCGCGACGACGACGGCTTCCCTTCCGTGCTAGCGGCGAAGCAGACGTGGATTTCGAATTCCTCGCCGACACGGTTCTTCGAGGACGCGGTGAAGAAGCCGGTGGGACCCAGGGTGGGACCGCCGCAGAGGCGAGTCGTCGGGTCGCGGATGGCACGAAGAGAAACGACGGATGCTTTTGAAGGGCGATGCTTGGAGACCGACGTCTCGTCGCCTACGGTGAGTAGGTTTTCGGATCGCGACGAACGCCGTGGATGATTTCTCGTTTCTTTTTAATCGCCACTCGTGCGCTCATTTACAAACCCGGTGAACGTGCTCCCCCGTGGGGTCGGCGACGACTCGCGAATGGAGCGGAGGCTACCGATACATCGTCGACTCGTCCGACGATCGCTTCCCGTTTCGTCTGCAATCGAAGGGAAGGAAAGGGGGGGGGGGAGAGGGTCAACCTCGTTGCCTACGGGTTTCTTTGGACCGGTCTTGCCAGCGAATACTCGGCTCGAGTTTGGACGTTTCGAACGTTTGAGGTGTGAGTGAGTGTATGCATCGAGCGAGTGACCCTCGAGGGCACTCGTTAGCGAATACGAGCATCGAACTGGATTTTGTGAGCTCCCGAGACGAGTAGACGAGCTCCACGGACGGAAGGAAACGACGCGCCTCTCGCATCCCGTTCCCGAGTCCGCCCTCGTCGCTCCGTTCCTCCGGAAGTTCGCCGAAAAGCCGGTTCGCGTCCGTCGTCGTCGGGATCGCGCGGGCGGCGAGGCACGAAGGGAAATCGACCCACCCTTGAGGAAGTGAGAAGCCTCGCCGGTGGAGATGTATCTGGTGACGTCCTGGAACTCGTCGAGGCCGAAGAATTCCGCCAGGTCCCCGCTGCCGTTCCGGTGACAGAAGTCCTGCGCCTCCGTCCATTCCATCCGTATGTCCTCCCAGACGGAGAAGAAGTAGCAGCCGCTTCCGATCCGAGCGTACGTCCGAGGGCAACCGTAGGTGTTCGACGGATCTGCGAACGGTTCGAAACGGGCTCGATCGAATCGCTTCGTCTCTGCGAGACGAAAGTCTCGCAGCGACGAAGCGCGAGCGGACGCGACGAGGCGCGGCGATCTGCGATCGACGGCACTCGCGGAAGCCTAGAACGTACGGAAGGGCTCTTCGGACGCGAGTCCGAGTTTACTTTGGGCCGGGGTGCTCTGTTTCGACGCCTCCATCTCCTCCACCTTCTTCTCCAGCGACTTCATCCGCTCCATGTACCTCTGGGAGTGGAAACGATCACGAAGAGGGAAGACCGAGAGAGAGAAGAGGAGAGGAGAGACGGGAAGACCGAGGGAGAGAAGAGAAGAGGCGACGAAGACGGGACAGACCTGGATGTGGGAGACTTCGTCTGCGACGGATCGGACGATCCTGGTGAGTTCCTTGGCTCCGGTCTCGAACATGGCGATCGCTCCTTCCTCCGACTTGGAAGCGAGGGATCCTCGACTGCTCCGCAGTTCCGCCGGCGCCTCCCCTGCCATCGTTCCGCAGGCGATCGCATCTCGTCCACGGAGGACCGAAACGCTCGAAATCGCCCCAAGATCCGCGAACCGGCCGCCGCGGGGCCGAGGCGGCCGGTTCGCAAGACCCGAACGGATCAAATCTCGTCCTTTTACCACCGCGGGATGGGAAAAAGCCGGCACGCTCCGCGTTGCCGATTCCCTCCGAGACGCATGGGCCCCCGGACGAGGTCCTCCCGCTTTTGTAGACCCACCGTACGAACGACCGATATCGACGATTCTCTCGTGCGTTTATTCACGTTCCCCGTTTTTTGCCATACTCGTCTTGCTGCCGTAAATCTCTCGCGGCTCTCGCCCGTCTAACAAATGAGAACGACGGTCGGCGACCCGACGCTCCGACGACGTCCCAACGACACCCCGACGACATCCCGAAGCAGACCGACCGAAGGCACGCCCTTTCGGGTCTCGGAAGGTCCACGGTTCGAGACCTTTTCCCGCTTTCGGGAAACTTCCAGATTCGAAATTCGCGAAGAAAATTCTTTTCTTTCGGCACGACCTTTGCAAGAGAAGAACTCGGCCGGTATCTTTCCCCTGTCTGCAAACTGACTTTCACGGCGATCGAGTGGATTTTCTTTTTATTTTTGGAATGACACGAGTGCAACACGGAAGGGACGAAGAGTCCTCTTTTTCCTTCAGGAAAGGAGACAAAGGAAGATAAGAAGACTAAAGAGGATGAGAAAAAGAGGATGAGGAGACTCTCGAGGGCGCATCGAGAAGGTCGCACGGAGTCGGCTAAAAATGTCTACTGGTCGCCGTCCCCCCATTTACAGGTAGTAACGTTGCGTACCCCTCGATTTTGACCCGCAGGTACGAAATCGTCTCGCATCTCAACTCTCGCCGCCGCTCGCGCGAACCACACGTGGACGGCATGCACTCGTCGGCCTGCTTCTGGCGAGGGCGATGAGAAGCACCGCGACGCCCACCGGGCTGCACTCGGCGTCGGCATCTCGAAAGCCACGGGTTCGATCGCGAGATCACTCGATCGTGCCGCGGAGATCGTCCGTACGGTGACGGGACGGACGTGCCGGCGGTTCTTCTCCGATTCCGCGTCTTTCCGCGGTCGACGAGCCGAAAGTTTTTCAACGCTGACATTTAAAACGGGCCTTTCGAGCGACCGACGCGTCTTCGAGCCGCTTCGCGAACGGAGCTTTCGAACGGGAGTCGTTCCGGACTTCGGTGTCGCTGCGATCGATGTCGCCATCGCGATCGACGAGTCGATTCCGACTCGAGAGGCGCATTCGAATCGAGTTTTATTCTGAAACTCGCAGAGCGATGCTCTTCCGAAACTGAAAGCTCCGGGCGGAACCGCGCCATTGGCGACCTCACGACCGCGAGTGCGTGCACTTTTCGCTCTAACAGAGAAGACATCGCGGTCGCACTCGCACCGCGAGCGGAGCGAACGTCCATCGCGACGAGGTCTTTTGCAGTCGCGAGTCGACGTGAGTGGCATCTGTCAACCTTTCGACGGCGATCGAGAATCACCGGCACCTTCTAAAACGGAAGAGCCGGCGGCAACAGAGGCGTCTCGTCGTGGCTGCCGAAGAACTCGGAGTGGACCGGATGTGACTTGGTGTGGACCAGATGTGGGCCGGATGTGACCTGGTGCGGACCGGATGTGACCTGGTGCGGACCGGATGTGACCTTGTGTCGACCGGATGTGACCTTGTGTCGACCGGATGTGACCTTGTGTCGACCGGATGTGACCTTGTGTCGACCGGATGTGACCTTGTGTCGACCGGATGTGACCTTGTGTCGACCAGATGTGGACCGGATGTGACCTGGTGTGGACCAGATGTGGACCGGATGTGACCTGGTGTGGACCAGATGTGGACCGGATGTGGACGAGGGAAACGCTCGCAAATGCGGTTCGCTCGTCGCATCCGCGGCTTTCCCCTGCTCGCAGGCTTTTTTCCGTCTCCACGCTCGAAAGAGTCGATTGCTCGGAGAGTCGGTGTCAAAAGAAAGAAAAAAGACTCACGGCCTTCGCGCTGCGGTTCGTTCCGACGATGACGCGGCCTGCGCGTTCTCGAACTCGGTCTGGAAACACGAAACCCTGATCCTCCACTCTTTTTCGACCTGATCGGTTGCGAGTGGTCGCGTGTCCTGTGACTCCGTGATGAGTTGGAAAATGGCTCGGTCGTGAAGCACCGGATTCGTTCAAAATTCACGATACAGATAGGGTAAGGTGGGGCCAATCGGGCGGTAGGGTAAATAGGTCACGATTCGTTCTGTAAGTTAAGATATCACCATTTACAGATTTCGTTCTTGGGCGGAATATGTAGTTGAATGACACGACTGGTCGAGGTTTCAAAGGTTTTTTGTATTAATAATTCCCTGATTGTGGAGTAAGAAATCTGAAAATCGTGACCGAATAGCCCCACCCTACCTTACATCCTCAAGTTTCGATCTGTGCCTTGATTTTGGGGCGATCCGGAGCAATGCAACCGATCTCGGGTTTTGCGATCATAAGTTTGAACTCTGAAGGTTCGGAAGACGTCGTCCGACGTGTACGTCGTGAAATGCTTCGTCTTAATCCAGGGATGTGCAACCCGCGGCCCGCGAGCCGCATGTGGCCCGTGGACCTGCTTCTTGCGGGCCGCAAGAAGCAGGGATGCATAATAGGATAACAGATAAAATAAGTTACTTTGCGGCCCAAGGCCCATCACAACCTCGGTCATCCCGTAGTAACTAAACTAGAGATAGATTGAGTCCTTTGACTTTCTTCCCCTAATTATTCCTCACGAGGGGGCGCTTCATATGTCTCGAGGAAGAAGGTTCTCAATGCCAAAGGCTAATTTTGGGCGTTAGAATTTCCTTTGGGTGTGACGGGGGGAAGGGTCATCGGCCAATCAGCGCGACCTAATGCCCTCATATGCCCTAAGGGCAAAATAGGGGAGCCTTTTCTTTTGCATTCTATGGCCCGCGTGATGAATCAGACACTTTCATGCGGCCCACTGCTGATAAAGGTTGCACGCCCCTGGCTTAATCTCTTTTTTCGGAGGAGAGGGAGGGGAAGGTTAGGGGTGGGGGGTGGAAGTTGGGGAGGAGGGAAGGTTGGGGGGGGGGGGGTTGAAGATTCAGCGTTCCTTTTATACCAAATCTTAGCGTAGCCAAAAGGGAGAAGAATCGCAACTTTTTCTTCGCACGGGTTCCCGTCGCCACCGGGGATGGCCGTGAGCGGTCGCCGTACAGGTTTTCGTCCGTCGGAGAACGGACGGAAACGAACGGCGGGAAAAGCGGAGAGTCGGACGGCAGCGTCGCGGTGGAAACGTACCTGGAGCGTGTTCCTCGCCGGCCTTGCAGTAACACCACGGGGTCGGGAAATTCCCAAATCCCAGGGTCCTGCTCTTGCATCCCTTGCAACACACGGCCAAGCCGATCGTGTGCTCGTACACGTGATCCGAATCGCAGTTCCTGCATTCCGAACCCACGCCGCACGTCGCTGTTCGAAAGAGAGCGAAACGAACCCGGGAGTCCATCGAGCGCCTTCGGCTTCCGACGGATTTCGCAGGGACGAGACTCACTCGTGTTGATGTTCGGATCGGAGAGCGGAGATCGTCGCAGGGTGGGACCGCAAGCGACGAGGGAGAAACACGTCACGAACCACGGGAAGATGCTCATCTTCGACTCTTCCGGACGCCGGACGACGCGACGGATCTGCTGGGAGAGATTGGGACCGGGGAGTTCGTGCACGCTCGTTAAAAATGGATTTCGGTGACAAAAGCGGGGGAAACGCCCCGAACCGATTCGGGTGGGACGACCGTCGAACCGTCGGACCCTCGAGAGTCGCGCTCGGAGAGTCCGTCGGTGCCGCGCTCGGTCCGACGGGATCGTCCGTCCGTGTGACCGCAGGATCCGCAAAAACGAACCGCCGGGTCGGGACCTCTCTTCCTCCGGATGTCGAAGGCCGATGTACCCATTCGATCGGCATCGAAAAAGAGGAGTGAAAGGAAACACGCTCGTATGCAGGCCATTCACCGTCCATTATCGCCGAGGACAAAACCCCTGAACCCCCGTCGCGTTGGACTTTCCGTTGCCCTTCGTCCCCCTCCCATCGTTATCTCTATATAATACAGGTATACATTTTGTATATATTTTTACTTTCCCTTCTAGCTCTCACGTGGATCTGGAAATCGATGCGGACGATCGCGTGGAATCCTGCGATGCGGAACCCATACGGCAATGTGGCATCATTTATAGACCCTCCGACGATGTCGATTTCCCAAACAAAATCAAGTCAAGGTGTCAAGTCAAGATAGTTAGTGACATCAAGCGGCGATTTCGCCCATTTCGATATCACGTGTCGAGGCCGAGCGTTCCTTAATTTTAGGGTAGGCATAACCCTCTTAAAGCTAAATATTTTTGTATATACAGTATATTTTCTTTACTATCTTAGTTGCTTACTGTCTAGTACCTAACCTCAACATTGCCCCCAACCTTCTTGCCTGTCCATGAAAGCATCTAGTTTCTTAAAGATAGTCACAGAAGGGGCAGCCACTACTTCGTCATCTAATCCAATTTAACATCGCCGAACGTGTCGAGAGACCTACCGTTGGATTAGATATGGGATTTCGTCGATTCGTATTCCGATGCGATCGTCGGATCGAAAACCGTGGTCGTCTTCGGTCGTATCGACGTCGACCGAGGTGGCGTATCGAAGGTACGGTTTCGCCGACGGATTTTCAACGACGATGGATTCCTCAGGCATCATCGATGCGTCTACGACGTCATCGGACCGAAAGCACAGGACTCTTTCAAAGGAAGGATGCCGGATCTCACGTCCTCCACGGACGTTAGCATCCTTCGCGACGTCCATAACGATGTTCCACCGCGAAATCGAGACGATCTCACGGTGGCACTCACCCCGAGGATCGCTAGGAAGAATGATCTCCAGACGGACGAACGGAGAGACCGTCGAGGGTCATCACCGTCATCCTACCGTCATTCTACCGTCATCCTACCGTCATTCTACCGTCATTCTACCGTCATTCTACCGTCATTCTACCGTTTACCATCGGAATGGGAAGCCGTGAATCGGCGGTGCCTAATTTAGAACCGTAAAAGCTCGAGGAAGAAACGAATTCCATCCCTTCGATACATCGCGATTCTCTCTGCGAGATGACTCGTCTTCTGGCGTCTCGTATCGCATACCTTGTACTTATCGGAGTCGCATTCCTTTCCCGTTTGGATCTCGAAATCGGTGAGGTAGGGAGGTATCTCGTGGAGGAAAAACCCAGAGCCTTCGAGAAAACACGCGGAAACCTTGCCGAAGTACTGCACTTCTGCTTCCATTCTTTGAGAGAATTTGCAAAAGATTCGACATTTGGCCCACGATGCAAAACGTGCTTCCGATCTGGACTCGTGATCTGCAGACCCATCCCGCTCTAGGTTTTGCTCTCTCGCATCGGAAACGTCCGATGAAAGCGGATCGCCTCTCTCACCATAAATACGACCATCTCTGATCCCCAGGCGATTGAAGTAGAGTTTAACGAGCATTTCCAAAGAGTTTTCTCCACGACCGAATCCACGAGTTATACTCCGTCGTTCGTTCTGCCCGAAGAATCGTGAACGACTCATCACAGCATACCTCGAGCAAAACTTCCACGAGCGATTTTTCCACTTCCCTACCTTCAATAAAAACATCCGGATGGCATCAGGAATAAACTTATGTCGTTTTCCGCACCCGGCTCATACAAACCAATCACGCGATCATATATTTTGTCACTTTCTTCTCGGCTTCCACAGCCATGAAAAAAAAAAACGTTTCCCCTGCACCCAAAAGGCTCTACATCGAATATCGAGAATCAGACCTAGTTTCCCGACCACGAACGTTTTTAAATGAATATATGAAAGGTTTTTGGCCTCCAGAATAGTCTAACACTTTCAAAATGACCCATTTATGTACAGATACAGATATGTTTTTGTACATCAAAGTACTCTCGATCGGCTCATGAATGCTATAGCATTCATGAGCGTCTTCATCGCTGGTGGAGTGAGATCCACCGGCGATGAAGACGGTGTTCGTGGAATCCATTCATGCCTCCGAGACCTCGGTGATGCTTTCGATGAAGGTACACGAACCCTTGCTGATAAAATTTGAACCCATTCACGCGATGAGATGCGTCATTCCAAAGTGGACGCAATCCTTTCCGATCGACGGAAAACGGTTCGTTGCGAAAACCATCTTTTCCTTCCTTAGGTGTATTTCCTGGAGTTTCAGAACAATGAACGGCATACTTGACCCTCTCTTCTGTTATTTAAGGACTTCCTCTACCTCCTTCTTCGTCGTCGTGTTCTCGTGTCCACCATGAACCACGGACCCAACCAAGGACGGCCTCTTACGATCGAACCGAGCTTCTCGCATCGCTGTGCCGCTAATTACATGGAAAAACCGACGGTGAAACATCCATTCTTTCTAACACGAGAAAAGAAAAAATCGGTCCCTCGCCGCACTACACGATCGAAATTAATCCACTTGCTCAACGGAATTTTCACGAGGACACGGTACAGGTATATCTATTTCCAGAGCTTCATCACGAAATCTGCATGGAGACGATCTGTGCCAAAAAAAAAAAAAACCGCAAAACTTCTGGGCGAGACTACGATTCAACGGTTTTATCGAGAATTCATTGGACATTACTTGAGTCAAATCTTAATGGCGCACCAGTTTGGTCCCCATTCAGCTGCCTTTACGGCTCCAAAATTGACAGAATGAACAGTAAAAAGCCACACGGCTCATTTCGAAAAGTTAGCATAGTACTGTTCTCCCTTATTCTGCTCGTTTGTGAACATAGAGTCTCACGTCCCACGGAAATCGCCCTGCCTATCTCTCACTTTGTAATCGCATGAATTCGCTTGAGCCTGTTCACTCTTAAAACCACTCAACCATTAGCGATAGAAAAATTGAAACTCTCATTTCCTCGCCATTCCACACCAGACTAGACTGAGCTCATTCGTTCGATCTTGTCACTGCAAGAACTGGGCTTCCTGATGCAGGACAAAAATTAGGCAGTAGTCGATAATAATCCTTTTAAAAATTTAATGAACCTCTTGAGCAGTACGAGCTATTTTCTTCGAGACTTTCTTGAACCGAATCTTCCACCCAAAGTTACCTTTTTCAGTGAGATATCGGGTAGTCCTTCATATCGATCCGCATGTGCCGTTTGCCTGCAAGAGACATGGCTACTCCCGACGATTCCCAGCGAAGCGATAGGTATTGGCGGTGTTCACATTATTTGGGCAGACCGAAATCATACGAAGAAGAAATATGGAGGTGGTGCAGCGATTTATGTACGATCCGATCGGGAAGCCGATCTGAAGGTAATCCCGAGTCCCGCCGATAACAACTGCGATTTTGTCGCAGTGGAATGCAAGCGGAAATTCATCGTTGTCTCCACATACGTTAATCCCAAATGAATGAAGGACGAAGCAGTCGAACGCATCGTGGACCTGGCGATGAACTTTCCCGATATCCACAAAATCTACGTAGCGGGTGACACGAACAGGGCACCATTCGACCCCGTTCGGATGTCGGGATGCTTGCAGAACGTATTTTCCTTCCCCATTCAGCAAGATGCACGTCTCGATCAGATATGGAGCAGCGACCCGCTCCTGAAGGCAAGGAAACTAGCCAGACTATCGGATCGTTAAGCCGTTCTTGCCTACCCCTCTCGGTTCGACCGTCACAAGTGCAACAAAGGATGGAAGTCCGTGAGAGTGAGGAATATAAATCGAGAACATCTAACGTTTGAGATTTATTATACGAACTGGCGGATGACAGGTTGCGACAGGTTTCGGAACACAGAAATCCGGGAAAAACTCGGGTGTGAACCTCGTCTCCAAATCGAGACATCACAATTACGATGGTACGGCCATGTGGTCAGGATGCCACAAGAGAGATTTGCAAGGCAAGTCCTTTCTGCTAAGCCAAAGGGAAAGAGACCAAGGGGCAGACATAGAACTAGGTGGTTAGAATATACTGAAGACACGTCTTGGAATCCACCCCGAAGAACTTGTCAAATTGGCGGAGGACCGGAACCATTGGAAGACTCTCCTGAAGCTGTTGCCCCCGCAACCCGAAAGGAATTACGGGCATTGAAGATGGATGGATAGACGGATGGACTTAAGGTGAACCCAAAGCGAATTTTAACAAGGACGTCGCTCGAATCTAGGTCTGTACCGTCGTATCGAAAACCGCCGATATCGGCCTTCAGTAGGCCTTCGGTAGGTGTGCAATCTACCGGTGCCGATGTCCAAAGAAGACCGTGTAGAAAGACGAGAAAAAAAACTAGGTAAACGGGGCTTGGCAACCGATTCTTAACGGCAATAGGAAAAAATTAGGGCTGTCCCGATGCATCCATCGATGAATGGATGTCATTTTCGATAGTTGGGGGCTTATTAGGCTTGATTACTCGTCACGAAGGTCACACCGTACCCCCCACCCCGTACTCCCCGTACTCCCCGATCACAGGTGTGAGATTATGGAGGACGGATAGAGGCCCGCGCCCTGATCGAGGCAAGAAACGACCGAAGTCAAGCCTCCGCCCGATCGCAGCAAGTAAAGAGTGAGTCCTCCGTCCCCCCCCCCCCTCCTCCTGGGTGATTCCATACACTATCGATAGTTCAGTTCGAAGCATCGGTGTTTTGAAAACTGTCATCATGACAGTCCTAAAAAAAAGTTATAAATGATAAAATAGAATAAAACAAGAGGGTTAAGAGATAAAAATAAAGGATAAATAGAGATAACATTTACGAACTGAGCTCGTCTCACAAAGCGGCAAATGAGAGAATGAATATGGAAAAAGGAGGGGAGGGGGGGAATGGAAATGGAAGTGGGAAGGAAGGTCACAGGGAATTCAGAACCAGTTTCAACATTTCAATCCAGGGTTTTTTCTTGCTTCCTCTCGTAGGTCGGCCTCTAATAAAAAAAATTAGCGAAAAAAGTTAGACTGCTCAATTTTTTTTCTCTAATTTTTTCGCGCATTACTGACTTACCACTAGAGCTCGCTACTTACGCTATTTACACATTCTAATTTTTTTTTAGAATGTAGCATATCTGCTACATTCTGTTTAGCCCTTTAATGATAAACATATCATTAATGGGCTAAACCGAACCAGTTCGTGCTGGGACTACTCGTTATCAACAGGCTCTACCTCCTTTGAGGGTGCGCTCCATTCCTGGTCGGGCAATCCATAAAGATCATTGAGAAAATAGTCTCAACATTGGTCAACCGCTCAACGAGAGAGGCGCCATTTCGCGACGTTCATCAAGCACTCGAACCCTTTACCTTAATTACGAAAAAAAAAGTAGATACAATGCTATACACTTTTTCAGATCGTCACACTGAAGAATAGAACTCTGAAAAATAGAAATCACTATAGAAATCTATTTTCATACATTTCCCACAGTGTCGCAACCAGTCTTAAGGTTTGGGGAGGGGGTTCGAAGTTCTCATGACCTCTCTTTCAAATGTCTCCAAATGCAAGAAGGCGTTATCAAATCATCAGGAGATATACTCAACGAAAAGGCGAAACAGCGTGAACACGCGAACAAAGAAAATGAAACGAAGAAAAATGTTATGAAATGGAAACGGAATTTGAACTCTAAATGATAAAAGCACATTCGATATATGATGAAAGCTTAAAATAAACTAAATTAATTTCGGGATTCATCCCAAATACCATTGCACAAACATGCAGTGGCGTGCCCAGGATATCCGAATAGGGGGGCGTAGCCATATGAAACACTGATTACCCACCCTAATGGGGGTGGGGGGGTTAACATGAAAAAACTGATAACCCACCCCGTATTTGTGT